GACGGATAATGAGTTTAAATATTTTAATGAATTTGCATCACCCACTCCTGAAGTTAAACAGTGGGCTCAATTAATAAAAACGGAGGAAGAACAAAAGGGTACAATTAAAGAGCTATTGATGACTTTAAATGGCTTAAAATGCAGAGCTAAAGAAATTTTAGATGAATCCTCTATAATATTAGATAACGAACAACGAGATTATGATGGAATGAAGGTAAATTAAATTAACATATTATATATAAATAATTAAATCTCTTGTTTACAAATAATAAAAATATTTAATAATTTTAGGTAAAATATAGTAATTTATGGACACAACCTCCAAACACACTTACTGCAGTTTTTCATCAAGATTTGAATAGTCATAAAGATACACTTGAAAAAGCCGCAAATTCGGATCAACATTTGTTTCAAAGATATGATCAATCTCTAAATGATATTATGATTTTACGGATGGGCGAAAATGGAGATGATTTAGAAAAAATATTTGCAGAAACATTAGCATCCTCTATAAATACTAATACTGATATGTTCGTGGGTGGTAGGAGAATAAGCAATGCAGAGAGTTTACTGGACGTAGATACATCAAAGTCTGAAGAAGATATTAACGTTAAAGTACATAAGGTCGAAGTATGCTTAGACAATTTAAATAAAATTAGAAAAGAACGAATGGATACATTAAATGATTTGAAGGAAAAGGTTAAGATGATTATTATTATATTTTAATTTTTATATATACAATTTTTTATTTATTAATATCTTATTTTAATTAGACGCACCAAGATGATATATCCAATATTCTAATCCTCAATAAAAAGGTACAAAATATTGAGCCACAGCTTTTTGCAACTGAGCTTGAAAAATTCTCCCCATATCGAAATCGTATAACTGCTAGCATTCATCATCAGCAAGCTTTATTACAAGAACTCACAGATCATTACAAAAACTTAATGGAAAGTGATGAATCAAAGACGTTGCAATCACGGTGGGATCATGCTGAACGGAAAAGAAAGGACGTGTGCGATCGATTGAAAAAAGCAAAAGATAGTTATCTCGAAGTTAAAGAAGGTTTGAGGTAAAGCTAGCCTTTCAACTTAAAAAATACAAGTAATTCCTATTTTTTTTTTTTTTTAAAAAAAAAAAAACAAAAATAAATGAAATTTTTATAAATTTACAGGAAGGGGATTCAATTTTATTCCGATTTGACTGAACTTATTGAAAATCTTTCCAAGACTTTACAAAAATCTGCCAAATCTCGCCAACAAGAGCGTAATGAATTGGTACAATCTCTTCAAGAACAACAAATATTCAAAGATAAATTAATATCTTCAAGTACACCTTCTTCTAACCAAGCGATAAATCATTATGAATCTTTAAATCAACTTGCAGAAGAAGCAAATAAATTATCACTTAATAGCAATATGATACCCATTGGTGTCAATAGGGATTTGAGTAATTCGACAATACCACAGACTCAATCTAATGTTACAAATTTCTACAATAATATATCACATTCCTCCTCTCAACCCTATAATACTTCACCTATTCGAAAAGATTCTAATACAAATCCATCAGCACCTCCTTATATTCCCATAGCTCCTCCGAAACCATCTGCACCATCTACTTTAAATTTAGGTTCTTCTAATAATTATTCTTCGCAAGGATCTACTTCCTTTTCCGTACAACCGTCGACATATCCCACGAAACCTTCCTCTCCGAAGTTACAAGGTCCACCTTTACCCCCTTTACCTACTGGATATCAACAACATAATATTGTCCATAACTCATCACAATCAGATATCCAACGTTCATATCAGCCCGCATTACCAGCGGTCTCTCAATCACAACAAACGCTGCCACAACAATCACCAATATTACATCAAAACCATTCTTTTAATGGTCAATATACACATTCATCAATACCAGCACAACCTTCTCAATCTCAACAACAATTTCACACTCAACAGCATAGTTTATCAAGTACATCATCGCCTTTACCGGTTCACCAGCCTCCTTATTCATCAAATTTCCAATACTCTCAACAACCACTTACACCATTACCACCGCAACATCATCAATTTCGTCAATCGTCGTATGAAAATTATGCTAGTGCAGGATATAATCGGGTACCAATAAATCAACTCTCACAATCACATTATGCTGGCCAATCATCCGGAAGCCTATATCAACAACAATCACCACCACCACCACAATATTCCGGAAATCAACCACCTCAACAAGGATTTAACAACAATTTTCCTCATCAACCAACAACTTATTATCAACCTCCAAGTCAAGTTGCCCAACAAGTTAACGAGGGTTATTATCAACATTCAAACTATCGGCCTGCACCTGTGCAACCTGGTTATCCTTTTCAACAACAAGATCGTCCACCTACCCAACAGCAAAATATACAATCACCACAAAAATCATTATTGGATTAAGCTTTAAATTATTGATGTGATTATATATCATAAGTGGTTGTATAAATATATTATTTGAAAAAAAATCTTTTAATTTTTATTATTATTATTTGTATTTTATATTTTGTATGTAGAGTGAAAGATTATATTTATAATTATCAATAAATTAATTTTTTAAATAGCTAAAAATAGGACAATTTTTTATTAAAAAGTTTTAAAAGCCAATGATAATAATACATAATCAAATCATAAAATAAAAATAACCTATACACAAAATAATACAAAGTTGAGAAAAGAATTAAGAAGCCAGCTCTTTTTTTTGAAAATAACTGAATAAAAATTAATAATTGTTGACTCTAATTTAAATAAACAATAAATAAATAAAATGCAAAAATATTTAACATGCAAAATAAAATAAAAATATAATCTATTTTTTTGGTTTTTTGGTTTTTTTTTTTTTTTTTTTTTTTTTTGCGTGGTAATTAGTCTAGTTTAAAATCGCTTTAAATAAAACTCCAATCAGATACGAGATATATTACATGTCCAAAATCTAGAATAAATTGTTTTAATTTTTTTTTTTTAAAAAAAAAAAAAAGATAAATAGTATAATATAAAGGTTCTAACATTTTCCCACACAGTATGAAACAAATTATAAAAAGTAAAACAAAAAGAATGAAACAATTACTCATCAACATAAGCATCTCTATCATCAACACCAAGAGCTCTCATAACTCGTTCCAATTTTTCTTCAACAGTCATTCCACCAACAACACCGGTACCACCAGCATCAATTTCACCACCGTATACATAATGATTTTCTTCTCTATCCAAATCGACATTTCCTAAACCTCTTGTCATTTCTTCTAATAACTTTGGCAATGGAACATCTTTAGCAAAATATACACTTGTCCTTGGTATAAAATTCTCATCACCATTAGAAGAAATTGATGAAGCATTAGAATAAGAATACTCTTTATTGATTAACCTATTTGGACTTCTACTACGTGAAGAAGATATTCTATCAGGAGTTAAATACTGATGTTGTTTAGATAGAGGTTCAACACCAGGAAGATGTAAAGGACTTGGGTAATCAGCAGTATAATAATCTAACTGACTATATATTGATTCATTATTATCATTAAAAGATAATTGAGAAACTTGATCATCTTCAAGATCACGGCCATAATTCAATCTACCAAAATCTTGAGGCCAAATTTGAGAATTAGTAAGATAATCATCATCATTATCATCATTTGCACCACCATAATAATAACTATAGCGGTCTTCCATATCTTCACCACGTAAACCATTTACGACTTGCCATACGTAAGAACCATCTGACATTTCTAATACTTCAACATGTTGACTTTCCAACTGTTTTATTTTCGTATTAAGATTATTAGAACTATTATCGTCTTCATCATCGGCTCCTTCTTGATCACTATAATAATAATAATCATATAGGCTTTCGCTGTAATTACTATAAATGCTTTTACTACCTATAGATTTTCTATTAAATTTACTTGAAGAAGATTTTAATGAAGAAGCTATACTAGATTTACTTGTACGCTTTGAACCTTTTGACGTTATACTATTTCTATACGGAGATGATATTGATGGCATGGGTGGTATCGGTGGTATCGGGATACCATAAGGTAAATCTATAGCACTTTCCCTTGTATTAGGGGAAGGTATAGGAGTTGGAGGTCGGTTATTTAATGAAGTTCTTGAAATAGAAACGCTTAATAATGTTGAATCATCAACATTCTCACTTTTCACCTCTTTTTCTTCCTTTTCATCATCATTTGATGTATTTTTTGAAAGAAACCATTGACGACCATCGGAAGCGACATGAATTTTCCCATTAACATCAATATTTTTCTTCAAACCAGTTATTGGATTTGTAAACGATGAAGCCGTCGAAGCAGAAGAAGGATCTTCAGGTAAAGGAGGAAGATATGGTTTAGTGATGATAATCGTACGACGAATTACTTTATTCCTTGATTTATTATCAGAATCATCAAGATCATTATTATCATTATTGTTATTATTAATATTATTATTATGGTTATTGTTATTAATATTATTATTAATTGTTTGACTGCTTTTACTAATGATACTACTACTTTTACTACTTTTGCTACTACGATTACTACCATAATTATTAAATATGGACATAAAACGTGAAGAGGAAGAAGCTCTACTATCTTTTGAATCTCTCTTATCATCACTACCAACGTCAGACGTACTATTCTGACTTCCAAAAGAATATTTCACACGACTTTTATCAGTTTGGCGTAATGGATTTCTTGGAGATATATGAGGAGGAGTACTTCTGCCAGATGGAATATCACTTATTGGAGACATTGTACTATTTGGACTATATGTGGATATCGGACTACTCGGAACACTTTCTGATCCATTTGGAAGATCTACAATAAGTGAAAGTGAAGAAGAAGAATTTCTCATAGAACCGGAACCTGAATGATCTGATTGTGAAGATGGACGAGAAGATATTATTGGATAGTCAACTTTTTTGTTGTTACTATATCTTGTTATCATTTCAGCATGTCTTTTCAAAGCATCAATATCATATAATGGTGGTTGTCCAGGCCATTGATTATGACTATTAACAGGAGTACTTAATCTTTCACTCAAAACATTTGTATTCTCTATATTATTATTATCATCTCCATTGGATTGTTGATTTTGTTCGTAATCTATAACGAAAGTGAAATTATTCTTTATATCTTGTTTTAATTTATCATTAGGTTTATTATTCTCCCGTGTACTAAATGCACGTCTTTTTACAAAATCAAATCCCCTTTTTTCATTGTTAGTAAATCTTTGATTTAAATTATCATCGGATGCAAACTTACGAGATAAGTTTTCATTAGAAGAACTTGGAGACATACGCTTTTTTCCAAATAAAGATTCACTATCACTAATAAATACATCTTTTATTCTTCTCAATGATTTACCAATACCAGTTTCACTTTCACGCAACGAGAATTTTCTACGAACTTTATTTTCATCATCTATTTGACCCAATTGTACTATTGGTATTGTCTTAACGTTAGACGATGTAGAAACTAATTGTGGACCTGATATAGTTTTTATTCCTGTATTCTTTTTAGTCCATTTTCTTAATGGACGTTGTTTATTATTATTATTGTTGTTGTTGTTGTCATTGCTGCTGTTGCTGTTGGTGGATTGAGGTTGTGTTTGTTGCGATTGATTCATATTCTGGACTCTTCTCATGACCATTACTTGATGAGCAATATCTGACTGACCTGAAGCTATTAATGTATCAGTAAGAGACAAAGGAGGTGGGTGCGGTTTTGGTGGTGGTGTTACCTTTCCACGAGATGGATTTTTCACCTGAGATTCCGTGGTAATATTTGACGTGCTTGAGATAGTAGTCATACCTGTCATGCTAGTAATATTAGTCATGTTAGTCGTATTAGTCATACTTGAAGTGGTTGATTCTCTTATTCCTGGTTGTTCATTTTCTGCTTCATCATCTCCTTCGTTATCAATACTATCATTATTGTTGCTACTATTGCTATCATTATTGTCATTACTGTCATTCAAATTATTAATATTACTATTACTACTATCATTACTATTATTACTATTATTACTGGCATTGCTGGCATTACTATTGACGGTTCTAATTCTTTTCAATGATGACCCTATCGTTGATGTGGTTGACGCTCTATCAGAATTGTAAATATTTTCATTTTCAAAATTCCTTAATGAATTGATACTAGGTGATTTCTGTATTGATGATTTTATTTCCTCCTCTTCGATAAATGGTGATACTTCCAATGAACGTGGAGATGTTTGTGATAAGTTGCTTGTTCTAAATGATGGTGAAGTGGTAGACCGGTTTGATGATGTTTGAATTGTAAGATTATATAATCCTTCTGATAATTTATCTAACGGGGAACGTGGTTGTTTAAGAAATATTTCATCATCATTATCATAAAAATCTGTTTCTCTTGGTGATAATCTGATTGGTGAATTTTTTGTAGGTGAAATTTGTTGCGTTGATTTTACAAAATTTGTTAATAATAATGACGGAGCGTTAGAAATTGTAGTAAATTCATTTTGCCATGAGAACCCTTGCTGTACTTGTGATATTGACGGTGGTCGTATTCTTGGTAGCTTTGGTCGACCCTTTGTTGGATTTATTAATAACCCTTTTGAAGATATTCTCCTTAAATTCTTTACATTAACTATATCTGTATTTATGATTTCGTTTTCATCATCATCATCATTATTTACACTTGAGACACTAGATATATTTTGAATTTTAGAGGGAGGATCATAAAATTTTCTAGCATTTGACATAACGTCTTGATTATTGCTATTGTCGTTCTTATCATTATTATTGTCATTATTATTTATTGTTGGGGCAACAGATGAAGAATTATTTGAAAGTTCCATCAGATTACCTATATCAGGGAAAGAAATCATTAGGCGAAAATGAGTATACATATAAATTTATGCAGATATATCTTAATTGCTCTATTACCTGATTCTATCTTTGATACTTCATTCGTAGTGGTGGTGTTTTCGCTAAGTAGGGAAGGTTGGGAAGCTTGTGATTTATAAATCTCTGGAGGGAAAACTTGTGTGTTAGAGCTTGTTTTCGTTGATGCACCATTATTATTATTATTTGAATTTTCTCCTCTACGTAATACACTAAATCGCTTTGTCAAAGTGGGAAGGATGAGTGAGGTACGAAAGTCTGAAGTTAGAGGAAGTAAGGGCGTTTCCGAACTAGTACTAATTTTGTTGGCTGTACTAGTTGAGACCTGACTTTCGTTAGTAGTGACCAAGTTACTAACTTGTCCTGCTAAAAGTTGTTTTTTCAAATCTTGCTTTTTTCGAAAACGATGCATTTAGTTTTTTTTGGTTTTTTTATAGAATATTAAATAAGCAGGTTTTTTTTTTTCCTTGTTAGGGAAGGAATAAAGAAAAAATAATTTAATTGTACGCCAGGTAGAAAATTAATTATTTAATTTATCTATTAATTTATATCTTAACAATATTAAAACGTTTTCTTGCGATATTGTCGATACAAATTTTTTTTTTTTTTAAAAGAAGGAATGTATGAACTACAGACGGAGTACAATTTTGTAAATAAGGAGTGGAGTGAAGGGAAATGGGAAAAAATTGACTGCCCAAAAGTGATAACTGAATCTGCGTGGTTATACGTTAACTTTTTATGTACATATTTATAATCCTAACCAAAATTGTAATTAAAAAACGAAATTTAGAGGTGCTTTTGTATAATCAGTAACGTGGATAATTAAACTACGTAAGACAAATTAACATTATCACGTCACACGAGGAAGTAAAGATTTTCTACACGATTAACACGTTTAAGATAATTAAAAGAATTCAGAATATCCTTGAGTTTATGAATGAATGAGGAAAAAAAAAAAAAAAGAATAACCAATAAATGAAATTACTTCATTTATTTATATCAACTTCGTTATTTATTTTTGATTAATGCATGTGTGACTGATTAATCTCAAATATGTTTATTTTTCCGAACTTTTTTTCTCCAAACTTAGAATTTAGAAGTTGTGTTAATTTAATGTTTGACCAATAATAAATTCGAAATTTTAAAATTAAATATAATTCATTCCATTCCACAAATGACTTTTAAAACTGCGGCAATTAAATTCCGTTTCATAATCCGGTCCATAATCGAGATCGAGTTTAGTATAAATTTCAAAATTTTTGATAACATGGAAGAATCTTTTTTTTCATAAAAGATAATTATAGGATTATTATTATTATTATTATTATTTTGTTGATCGTATTACTGCGGCAAGCATGGTAAAATATTCCTGTATTAAAGAAACTTTGAACCAATAAGATTTTAGAAAAAAACTTTACAACCTAAATAGGTAATAGCTTTATAAAAAAAAGGTTGTTGAATAATCAATCTAGCTTAAAACAACTTTGTACATTTATTTATTTTTTTTTCAGAGTCGATCATTAAATTTAATAAATGTTTCGGAGATGGGGTTTTTTTTGGCTGTTTTTGGATATCTTGATCCGTAAAATCATCAGATTAATTAAATAACTTAAAAAGTTAAAAATGCTAGAGAAACATCGGCTGCTGCGCCATGAATTGGAGAGATCAAACCCACTTTCACAGAATTGTTTTTTAACTGATTCCTCTAAGTGGCCTTTAAAAGAATCATAAACTAACATAGTAGGATCCTTTCGAGTACCATATTTTTCCCTTATTTCATTAAAGTAATCTACATACCTTTTCATTTAATTTGAATCTATCAATCCGTTCTTTTAAAATTAAACCACAATGCCAGAAGGAATTTGTTCTTTGCTTGATAATCATTTCCCTTTGAATATACAAATTGAAGGCATCTTCGTTTCATCTATAAGGTAAGGTAGTTATAAATATATTCTTCTAAAAATTAATAAAAAAGTTATAATCATCGAAATTCAATATATTAATAAGCATTGAATTATATAAACAATTTATTAAATAAATCCTTTACCTGCGGCACATGTCAAAACAATGGTAAAATGATTTTTTTTTATTACCTATTATATGAACATATGCCATTTTTCACCCTTTGGATTGATCGTGAAGTTACTAGCCATATCAAACCAAACGGGCGTTTCATCCATATTAAATATATTGCTTAATTTGTAAGCATTTTTAATTTTAAGATTAATAACAAATTGATGGAATTTTTCTAATAGCTCTTGAGTTTGACTTGGAAGATTTTGGGAAATTCTTGTATGTTACCATAGTGCAAGTTTATTTCTTCTCATAAATGCTGTTAATCAATGATGAGAAGTTTTAAAATTTTCCGCTAAGTCACCATATAGGTCTGTTATTTCAGGTTCTTTTAAAATTTCTAGCATTTTATTTCAAAGAATTGCATACGATATAGCTAGTCCTTGCTTCCTTTGTTTAATAATCTACTTATATAATCTCCTTTCAGCTTCAGGAAAAAAAGGTCTTCGCCCAGAACCTACCCGCTTGTTTTTTCCACTAGTTTCAGCTATCTAACTCGAACTTGCTTTTACCCAATACCTAACTATACTAATATCAATATTAAAATGCTTTGCAATTTTAGCATTTTCTTTTTCTTTTGCATATGTAATAACTTCTACCTTTTATTCTATAGAATAAGAAGTTCGTGTACGTTTAATAACCTTTTTAACCTTATGTTTAATGAAATTTCTTTTGGACATTTTATAGCACGCAGTATAGTATTAAAGGATCAACTGATCACATTTTATCAGTTATATCAACAATCACAGGATTTACGTTATTTCAAGATTCAGAGATCATTTCATTTACTAAATATCTGAAAATAAGCAAGCTTATAATAAAAATAGCTTGCTTAATTTCAGATGACTACGGTATATAATACAGTTATTTTTAGGACTGACTGTAAACACTTTTATTACTATAGTGCAGGGTTGACATTGGTCGTGGTCATGGCCAATCAAATTTAAAGAATTGTAATTTTGAAAATTGATATATTTTATTTTTATTTAATTATCAAACAAAGTAAGAAATTCTAAATCTTTAACAAACAAATCAATTATTTGCCATTTAGCATCTACATCAATAGCAGGATGAATTTGATTATATATATAATTATTTTCTTAAATTCTTTTATTCTTATTATCTTTATTATCCTTATCATTTCATCATAAAAATTACCAATATTCTCTTATCCTTCAGATTCTAAAAAGTTCTTTTATTTCTTTATTTTTCACCTATTGTAAAGGTATTCCAGTTGATATTATTGCTTTAAAAACTAAATCATTAAACATCTCTTTATCTTTTTTAGAAAAAGGACAGATCAAGTGATCCTAAAGAAGAAGGCATACAAATAACTTTTGTATTAATTCGTTTATCTATAATATTTTAAAAAATTATTTTTTTTATTTTATAAAATAATAATAAAAATAAATATTAACATTTTACTTACTTGAAATAAATTTTTGCTCATAATACGATCTCTTATTATTAATTGAAATAGAAATTGAGTCTTCAGATACTTTATTCTCCAAAACTTTCATCTACCTCTTTTTTAGAAAACCAAGACTCAAAATTATCACATTTTTTTAAATGGTTTACTATCCATTTAGTTTTGTTAGAGAATTTTTTTTTGATAGCATATTCCTTATTAACAACTTTTACATAGCCAATACAAATTGCATAATTGTGCTAGTTACAGTAGCAGTTATAAGTATCTGACTGCCTCTAACTCTGGCTACAAGTAAGTAAATTCAAAATTTTTTTTATTTAAAAAATACATAACTAACTAATTAAAATTAATACATTATGTAATCACTATCTGACTTTATAAGTGCAACTATACACCTTTTCATGCTAGCTACCAAATTTGCTACAAGTATAAGTGATAATTGGTTTCATTCTTTTGTAAGTTCTCCCTTTAACCCTCTAATTGATCAAATTTTTTTTTATATATTAATTTTCATTAACCTCCAAATGTTTTCTATAGGGTTTTAGTTTAAAGATATTGATGGTCAAGAAAGTACCTCAATACCATTTTCTTTCTTCTATATTTTCATGATTTTTGATCAATACTTTGATTCATTATCTTCTTGCAAGATCTAATCTATGTTATCTTTACCAAAAAGTTTAGAGGTGGAAGCAGAAAACCCTGCTCATAAATAGTACACATAAATTCAGCATTAAGGTTCCTTTGAAAGCAAAATAACTTATCAAATTCAGAAGTAGAAAAACATCTCTAAACATAAACTTTTAGTGAATGCTTAACAAAATAAAATACTTTTTTTCTACCAGAAAACTGCCAAACCTTTTTTTTGATATATATAATTAAAATGTATTCTCATCTGTAAAAACAACTTGATTCTAATCAAAATTCTTATGTTTTTTTGCCCATTGTAACCTTTTCTTTTAATGGTCTTCTTTAAGTAAAGGTTTAAAAATTTCATTACTAAACTTTTCTCTAAACCTATAAAGATATTACCTTACTGTTTTTACACTAAGCCCAACATCCTTTCTTCTATTTTTTCTTGTATTTGAATGGTTATTATATTATGTTCTTTCTTTACCATCTTTACAATCTTGTTATCTTGTTTCATGATTATTACATAAGGCTATCCTGATCTTTCTGAAGTACTTAGGTCTCGATTTTCATGATATTTTTTAATCTAATAAATAGCTGTAGACTTACTATAATATACCTGTTTAGCAATAAATCTAAAACTAAACTTTAGGCCAGCTAGATGCTTGCGTAAAAAGATAATTTCATATTATTTTTCTAAAGAAAACTCCATTTTTCAAGCGAAAGTTTGATGATCATCTAAATTTTTTTTGTATTATTGACACTTATAAATTTACCAGTAATCATGTATTGTATTACATTATATTTCTGAAAATTTAAGAGGTAGTTATATAATAATTTTAGATGATCTTGAACGGTTAGATATTTATGACCGCTACTGTATCTATCTTTTCAGGTAAAATCTCAATGTATTGTAAAAGGTTTTGTGTTTATTAGTTAACATTGAAAGTTAGAATAAAAGAGTTAAAAAAAAATGTATTAAAAAAAAGATTATCAAGATCGATCAATTGACCAAATCATTCAAAAATGAAAAATTGATCAAAAATTAGCCAAAATAATGGTTAAAAAGGAATTTAGCTGCAGCTAATTACCAATGAACTTTGACCACTAATTTTGGCCATTGATATTAGCTTATCAGTCAAATTATGATTAATAGCCAAGCAAATTTATTGGTCATGACCAATGTCAACACTGTTATAGTGATACTTAGTCTTAATAATAGTAACTTTATTTAGATACTGAGTATATTTTCTAAAATTTTAATTAAAAAAGAATTGCTAAAA